TATATATATATATATATATATATATATATATAATCATAGGACAAATTAAATGAATTTTAAGTATATCCTAACATAATTTATGTAAGAAGAGCCTGATTTAACTTTTAGTCTAACCAATATCCTATATAAATTCATATTATTTTTTTTTCTTTTTATAGTAAATCGTGGTTACGAGTCAGGAATGATGTAAAGAAGCCAAAAAATAAAAAAATAAAAAAAAAATTCTAGAGGTCGTCCTATCATAAATTTTTGGGTTGTATGTATTTAATGTAATGATGACGCTAAAATATTTGATAATAAATAAGAATTGGGTTGTATCACGTACATACTTGAATAAAAAAAATCTACTCCCATATAACATATAGCTGCTATTTATAGAATGGATAGAATATTAAGTCTGAAGACCTTATGTAGAGTTACACGAGGAAGTCAATATCAAATTAATGCGTGTCTAATTATAATTTATGTATAAAATTTAAAGGTAACGGTGAAATCCGGCCTGACCCATCTAGAAAATAATATTAAATATTAAAATACAAAGTACAATGCATTTGCCTTTTCAATTTCTATACTTTTCTTGCATTCCAAACTCTCTAATGCCATTTTCTACCTTATACTCAGATAATCCTCCTCCCAAGTTGACATTTTCTTCCCTACGCTCGAGATTCCCCTGTTCTCCCAAGATTGGATTTTTATAGCTCCACCCATCTCAATGTCTCCGAGAATATGATGATGAGGAAAAAGAGGCTAGTTTCTATATACAACATACCATAGTTGATTGTCTGTTTTTTTCAAGTTTTTCTTGTCGGATAAATACATCTAAAATATGATTAAATATATCACCTCATTATGATTTTAAAAAACCTTTTTTTATTTAATTTGCAGGGTATATATACATTTACAAGCATAAGAAACTCTAAAACGCGCTTTGTCACTTCTCTCCCTCTCTCTGTGTTTCTGTTTCTCCATGGAGACCTTCTTCCTCAGCCACGGATCGCCGAGGCTGTTGATAAAGGAGATGGCAGTGAGACGATTCCTCGAGGCATGGAAGGCTGAGGTTTTCCCTGCAGCTCCTAAATCCATTCTCCTCATTTCCGCTCACTGGGAGACCGACGAGCCCCTCGTCAACTCCATCGACGGCCCAAATAACACCATCCACGACTTCACCGGCTTCCCGCAGCATTTATACCAGGTTAAATTGAATGAATTTAAATTGAAACGCTTTTGATAAGAATGATTTTGGGAGATGTTTGTGTTAATTGGAACTACTATCAAAATAAATGTTTTTTGTCCGTTCTTTTTTTCTTAATTAGGTCGTTGTGATCGTCTATAGACTCACAGGAAAGTCTTCTGAAAATTAAAATGATTTTAATACTGAAAGTGCCGATATAATTTCTAAGAGGAGTCATAAAATTTACAGAAATTATGCTTATTTAACATTTATTATACTAGAAACTCTTAGTCCAGCAACAGAGCCTCAAATTGACTGAGAAAACGTATTTCCGGTCAATAATATGCTTTTCCAACAGCACTATTCTGTTGTTTTGTCATCTGCCAAGTTCAGTCAAAATAATTCATGACGGTCGTTTATTTTTTAAGCATGCTATGTGCATAATGCTTGTGCTGTTCAAAAAAGGTCCGGCAAATAAGACTTTTTTTGTGGTGCAAGTTAAAATGTTACTCATGTTGGTGGCATGGTAGAGTTGATCAACACTTCCTTGGTAGATTTATGAAATTTCCGAATTTTGCCTTCGATTCATGCTAAATCCTAATTATTAAATCCTACTAACCTTAATCCTTCCTGCAGCCAAACACACCTTATCGTGGTAATTCTGCCACAACCATCCAAATGTCACATTACTCATCACTATTCTTTAATCATTTTCCTTATTAGACTGACATCTTCTGAAATCTCTTTTTATAGCATAAACTTCGCATAACCTATTGAAAGGAAGCCTACGAACTTGTAACAAAGATTTTCATTAACATTTCACACATGATCTACAGCTACAATATCCTGCGCTGGGTGCACCTGCACTAGCCAAGAGGGTGAAAGAACTGCTTCAAAATGCGGGCTTTAATGGTGCGGAGGAGGACAAAACTCGTGGACTTGATCATGGAGCTTGGGTTCCACTGATGCTCATGTACCCAGAGGCTAACATACCAGTTTGCCAACTTTCTGTCCAACCTAACAAGGATGGAACACACCACTATAATATGGGTAAGGCATTAGCTCCACTAAGGGAGGAGGGTGTTCTAATAATTGGTTCTGGAACTGCCACACATAACCTCATGTTGCAAGGTCCTGATGATGCTCCACCGCCAAGTTGGGCTTTGGATTTTGATAACTGGCTCAGAGAGTCCCTCCTTAATGGGAGGTATAGATATCTCTACTCTTCCATGATTTTATAGTAATTTTATTTACTTTTTGTTCTGTTACTAGCCTAGTAACCATTAAGGCACCTGAGAGTATTGGGTTAAGAAATATGTTAGTTTAAGAATATCGATGGGCTCTCTCTCTTACAAAAGCTTAGTTCAAGCTTGTGTACATAACTGTTGAGAAATGAGGACAAAAAAAATGCAAGAATCAACAGAACAATCAAGAACGAACATAAGAATTTAACGAAGTTCAGCAATATGCCTACGTCCTCGGGAGCAATGAGTGGCATCATCTTTTTGATTTCTTGAAAAAATCAAGAACGAACATAAGAATTTAACGAAGTTCAGAAATATGCCTACGTCCTCGGGAGTAATGAGTGGCGTCATCTTTTTTATTTCTTGAAAATAGCTTAGGGTTACAAATACAACATATATATAACCCTAGTGTATAATATGTAATTATACACTATAACCCTAGTGTATAATATGTAATTATAAAATTATCATGTACCGTACAACGGGGGCATTGCCCCCGCACCCCTAACCCACTTAGCGAAACTACCCCAATTGGACAAATGCTTCTGCTCCACTCCGCTCCAGCATATGTTCGTTATATGGTTATATGAGTCATACCTCACAATAACCCTACTAATAGTTTTAGAGTATCAAAGGACTCTCTCTCTCTCTCTTACAAAAGCTTAGTTCATACATGTATACATAAACCTACTACTCGAATATGAACAGTATTTATAGACTTACAAAAGATTCTAAGGACATAATAACAACTAAATTAGCCTATAGGCTTCTGCTTCTTGTATTTCTATGTATATTTTTTTTCGCTTGTCTGAATAAAATAAAGTTACAAATTGAAAAGTAAATACACTAAGCTCCTACTAATGCTCAATTGATCTGATTCAATGACTAAACATGGTTGGTAAATTATTTTGGTGAAGGCATGAAGATGTGAATCAGTATGATGAGAAGGCCCCTAGTGCTAAAATGGCACATCCCGAACCAGAGCACTTCTATCCCTTACATGTTGCTCTTGGGGCTGCCGGCGAGAATGCGAGTGCAGAGCTGATCCATCATAGCTGGGGTTGTTCCTCCATTTCTTACTCCTCCTATAAGTTCAGGGCTGCTGCATAGTTGTGTGTATGTTTTGCTAAATAATAAAGAGGTCTTCAATTGCATGCTATAAAAAATAATAGAAGAGAGTTTGTTTGCCAATTACTTGATGTTTCTGTTTGATTGTAAAAAAATTAGGACTTGTTTGGGATCATATTTATTTTCTTATTTTTTGTTTTTTTTTCTTGCATATATTTTAAAAACATATTTTTAAAGTTCATATTTTGCATGTTTTTTTTGTTTTAAAAAAATTATTATTTAAAAAAAAATCAAAATATTTAAAAATTATTTTGTGTTTTTTAAAATAACTAAACATATTATAATCTATTAAATATGTTATATTTCATGAAAAAAATATAAAATAAAATAAAATAAATAATATTAAAAATCAAAATGTAAAGTGCTTCAACTTTGCTTGCATCTGTAATTTCCCCTAAAAAAAATTAAAAAAAAAACCACTAAGAATTTATTAAGTTAATTCTTCTGTAAAAATCCATCCTAATCTTCTTCCTCTCAGAATTTCCAAAAGCTTATTCATTTCTTCAATTGTAAGCGATTCGAATTGGTGGTCTGATTGCTATGCAAGAAGTTTAAAAAACCCATAAAAATGTTAATTATATTTTATTATGCTTAAATAATAAATATGAGAATTATAACTCAAATGATTATATAATAATAGAAAATTCCCAAAAAAAGCCCAAGAAAAGTTTTAACTATATAAAATCTGTAACTAATTGAAATATAATCACTGCAATTTGGATTTATATTGCATCAAGATTGATACCGCACCAACAAATTTTCATCATCAGACATAAATCTCGAGTCAATTTTTTTAAGTAAGAAATATTCAAACTTTAATTAAGAGTCATCCAAAGCTTCGATTTAAACAAACTTATAGTCAAAATGATCGGCTCGGTGAGACAGACCCAATGAAATAAAAACTATTCCAATCAGAGTCAGATCAAACCCATATCAAATCATTAAACCACTCTTGGAGGATTTCTAGACTCATTTGGAAGGTTAAACGGACGTCGAATCTAGTGAGTTTATAGTCGAATCTAGTGTCTTGACAAAACGAATCCAACGAGCCCAAGATTGTTCAATTCCACTTCGTTAAAACACTTAAATGTCCATCAAACATCATTTGATCGAGGGAAGCTCTTCGGATCATTCGATCAAAATGGTTCATATTCCTGCATTAATTGCACCCATAACAATACAAATAGAGCCCTTTTCTCTCATGAGGGGGGTGGGAGTGGGGAGCTTAAACCTAAAGAGAGATCTTCAGGCCTTGAGGAGGAGGTGCAGCTCAGCATCACCGCTGACTGCAGTCGACCATTGCAGATTTCCGTCAACCACCGTTGACCTCCGTCAACCGCCACTTGTCGTCATCGACAACTGCATACCATCGTTGACCGCCTCCAACCTCAATCGACCACCCTCGATCACCACTGACCTCCGTCCACCACCGTAGACCGTCATTGACTGTCATTGACCACCGTCAATCACCATCGACCTTCGTCGACCACCGCCGACTAGACGCTGTCAGTCGACGTTGTAACTTGGAAAATCTAGTAACCCTTTCTTGTCTGTGGGACAAGGGGTCTTTGTAATCATCAACATATAGTGGATTTTTATAATTGGACCAGAACCCGTGGTTTTTTCTCTTTAAGAGTTTTCCACGTAAAAACTTCTTATGTCATCACAGATTATTTCCCTTTCATGTAAGTATGCGCTGAATCCTCATGCAACGTTAAGACAATAATCCATTACTTTAACGCCGTAATTTTTCTAGCACACATCAGTTTGGCGTCGTTTGTGAGAAACGAAGTCCCGTTTGACGTTGTGTTCAACTCAAAGACACTAATCCCCTACTTCTATTCCCAATGATGAACTCCATTCAACTAGTAAGGAACCTTCTTCACGTCATGATAATCATCTCCGATGCATTCTTCAATACGGGGAACAATATTATTTACAGTCTCGAAAGGTTGTTCACGTCAAAGTCCCATGCACGATTGTAATAGAGTTGTCTTCTCATATCTTATTTAGACACAGAGTATTTCACAACTTCTTCCAGGCTGGGGGGTACCTTCACTGTAGTCTTGAAAGGTTGTTCCTATTAACATCCCATACACGACTGAGGTGGGGAAGGTATCCCACATTCAAATTACAATTCTACGAGAATCTCTTATGTACTAGGGGGAAATATTCACTGTAAATAACACTTCCTTAAGATCTTCAACTAGATCAAGAAGCCGATCTCTTTAAGACCTGATGCATGAGTTCTTTTACAAGCTCCCCGGGGGGGGGGGGGGGGGGGGGCAAAAAAATTGAAAAGCAGCAACTAATAAGTTGTCAAATATTTTTCTTGAGTATGACTGCAACCATATTTTCAAGAAAACATACAGTCTATTGTGAACTACACCCTAGTCTTGAGAAACACAGAGCATCTCTGACACCTCAATTTAGTCTGAATCGCTTCCAAGAGGACTCGATTCAACCTCTTTCATTACAGGCTACAGTTGTCGAGCAAAAACTTTGACATACGACCTCCAATAGGTCAAAAATCCTTGGTGGATTTCCTTCGATCTCTTTCATTACAGACTACGGTCGCCAAGAAAAGCTTTGACATACACCCTTGGATAGGTCAAAAATCCTTAATGGATTTCTTTCAACCACTTCCATACCAAGTTACAGTTGTCAAGTAAAAGTTTCAACCAACAACCAATGATAGGTTAACCATTCTCAATGGATTTCATATGACTTTGTTACAGGTTACTACCGTCGAATATCTCCGGTTGTATAACTCAGAACCGGTCTTACATCCTCAATGGATTCTATTTTCAACCATGCTCTTAGATGTCAAGCTCGGAAGACAAGACCCGATAAGAAGCTACCATGCCGCTGGAAGATGAATCCAAGAGGGTCTTCACTGAAAAGCCTCAAAAGGCACAGACACACTCAGAGACCTCAGAAGGCAACAAAGATCAGCATATACTTGTACAAGGGCTAAAACAAATCAGTTCTTCTTCAATTAGAGTTGGCATTGCCTCCCTAAAATTCTAGTACTTCTGATGATCGTCAGAGAGTCTCCAGATATCGCCACCACATAAGCATTAAAATCTTCTCCTCTAAGCGCAGCAGGTAAGCTACAATATTTCTTCATGAAATGTGCTGCAACGTGAAAGAAGATCTCATTGCTCGCCTGCTACGCAGGTCGGGGAGGGATTTCATCTTTGTCGCAACGTGAAAGAAGATTTTCTTGCTTGTCAGCTACGTAGGATGTGGACAACTTTTATCTTCACCGCAATGTGAAATAAGATCCCGTTGTTTGCCTGTTATGCCGGTCGGGGACGACTTTCATCTTCACCGCAATGTGAAAGAAAATCTCGTTGCTTGCCTACTACTTAGGACATGGACAAATTTCCTCTTCACCGCCACAACGCAACGTCCCACCGCAATGCCCTACCGCAACGTGTCGCCACAAAGCTTCACCGAGATGCTTCCCCATGACACTAGATTCGACTGCAACCTACCGTCGTCAACCACCCCCTACCTCCGTCGACCGCCTCCAACCTCAGTCTACCACCGTCGATCACCGATGACCTCCCCGACCACCGCCGATCGTCTTAGACTGTCGTCGACCACTGTCGATCACCATCGACTTTCGTCGACCATCTCCAACTTTCGTCGACCACCGCCGACCAGACGTCGTCAGTCGACGTTGTAACTTGGAAAATCTAGGAACCCCTTCTCGTTTGTGGGACATTGAGTCTCTGTAATCATCAACCTATAGTGTATTTTTATAATTGGGCCAGACTCGGTGGTTTTTTCCCTTTACGGGTTTTCCACGTAAAAACTTCTGGTGTCATCACAGGTTGTTTCTTTGTCATCTAAGTGTGTGTTGAATCCCCATGCAACGTTAAGACGATAATTCATTACTCTACTGCCGCGAATATTCTAATACGCATCAAAACTGAAACAAAATCAGAAGTGATAATAGGTCAAAAATAAAAAATATATATATATTAAAATTCAAATCAAAGTAGGTTTCACAAGAAGAAATATTACATTCGGACTCCGGACGCAAAATTTACGTCTGGAGTCCAATGAGAGTGTGTCACGTGGCAAGTGAGCTCTACCCCTCTAAAAAACCTACCCAACTAATGTATTAAATTGAGGCTCACATGCCACATGACAGGTTCCCACTCGACTCCGGACGGATGAAACTCATATGCTAAAGCCCATTGATATAGATGACAGTTATCACTAATAGGTGATACCATAGAGCAAAATGGTTGTCAATAAATTAATCTAGCAAAAATTAAAGTGCTGTCTTGAATACTTTTATTATTAATTTAATTTAATTTATTTTTTGATATGAAATAGAATATATTCAATATTTTAACAATACATTATTTTATTATTTTAAAGACTCCATTGACGAGGTGATAATATACAAGAATTGTGATGCTGATCAGTGGTGATAAAAGGGGTAATGGTGGTGACGACGGACATTAATAGTTGTTTTCTAAAAAAAAAAAAGAAATTGTGCCTAAAAGTTGTCGATGAAATTATTACAATTTCCCCTTCCATTCAATCCTTATTTGATAGGTTGATTTGAGTTAGCTCATCCTAAAGTAGTTCTTATCACTTAAACTTATTTGGCCCCATGCTCTTGCGGCACATAAGCCCATCTATCAAGTCATACTAGCCCATTTTTTGGTGTAAATTCTATGCTCTCACACCAATGTCATCTCTTGCATGATGCATGCAATCCCAAAACAACAAAAGTTCACAACAATGTTATTTATCTACATGTCTAAGATCTTGTTAGCCGATACAAACTTTAGTCTCTATCAACATGATTTGCAACAGAGGCGAGCAAATTCAAATTAGAGGAACGATGATAGGAGATCATAAAGGTATGTTTTTCTTCAAATTAGAGGACAATGCATGCCGTAACCAATTAAGGCTCTTCTTCTCCACAAGCAAAATAAATTATGGCAAGGATATAGAGAAGATTCAAATATAAGCTTATCCAAACTAAATTCATTAGATCTGATTTATATGATGAGATAGTGGGCGTGTAAAGTTGCTAATTTGAAACTCTCTTCCTGATATTGACCATTATCATTTCCCA